CATAAATTTTCGTACAAACTAAAGCACACCAAACATTTTTGGACAAGCATTCGAATGAAAATTTAAAATCGTTAATAATTATTGTTATAACAATCATTATATGTATGATATAAAAATAGCTTATTTTATTATTATTATACGGAACATGCCGAATCAATAACTTAACCGGACCGGCTGAAAAATCATTCGGCAAATTTTTACAGGTGTCCCAGGAATTATGATAATAGCTGTAACCATAGCCATTTATCATACAGCCGGACCATATCAATTGACGATTCTACGACGCTTTCCACTTGTGCGACTTACATACATTGTGTGGTAACTGCTCCAGAACCACAAAATATAGGTCACACGATAACAAAATAACCTTAAAACAATACACTAAGCGCTATCTAACCTAGACCCTAAGCTACGTTCGAGATTTGGTCCGAGTAATTAGCGTTAGGGTGTTAGATTAGAGCTCTATATTATGTCGCTCTAATTTGGGAGCATGGGATTACGTAGACTACTAATTCTCTGAATTATGTTTTATTGAAGGTGATCTTGAGGCTTTTATATATAGACTAAAATCGAATAAATAAAACAAACCGATGAATAAAATAAAATAAATCCATTAAATCTAGAAATTCACAAAATTTACAAAATAAAATATCGAAAAATAACAAAAATAGTAAAGAACAATGATGTCACATCAGCTACCACAGTAATTCGGGTGGGGTAATTTCGACTTTCACAACGTATGTACATACTTTGAATGGAGCATGAAAGTTCTATTTCAAGCCCACATCTTAATATCTTTCCATGATTTACTGCTGATTACGTAACGCATATTCTTAAGTGATCTACATTGTCCGAACAAAAAGAAAACCCACGCCTTCGATTATCGTTATGCTAGGACTTTCCTCTAAGCACCTCCAAATTTAAAATTTAATCGAATTTATTCTGCTTCCAACTAATTAAAACTTTGCCCCCAATCCACCGGGTGAGATGCTTAACACTCTTAGAGTTAAGAATTGGCTGATTAAAGCCAGCGTTTGTGTCTTGCTGCGGAAATTATTTTGTTTCAGAGTTTAATTATTTCTATTCCGGGTGTAAGACCTATCGTTAATTTTCCGGTTCCCTCTACACACGAACCCATTTACTGCGTCAAATTTTAGATTATCACATTTAATTACATCATATCAAAAAAAATAAAATAAAATAAAAAAAAAAGAAAAAAAAGAGAATACTTAGAAGTCTGGTTTATACAGCAAATTTTTTCTAACACCCAAATACACAATTTAAAAATGGTTAAACAATTCCCCAACGAAATTTTAATCGATATCTTATTATATTTGATAAATGAATTTTCTACTTTATACTCTTGCCTCCTTGTAAGCCGTCACTGGTGTAGAGCTGCGGCACCAATTTTATGGAGCGAACTAAACGGCCGTTTTCACAGTATAAAGCTTATAGAAATATGCCTTTCAAATTTAAATGCAGACGAAAAGGCATCATTAACTCCCTTTAAAATTAACCTCCCCGTTCGTAAAAATTTATTATTTAACTATACTAGTTTCGTTAAGCACTTAGGAAGCCGATTAAATATCGGAGCACTTAACTGGATAAGGAAAAATTCTCCAAATCATGATGACGAAGAGCAAGTCAAATTTGCCATCAGAAACTCTTTAATGACAATGTTTTTACGAACAAGCCAATCCATAAAATACTTGGATATCGTTGGTTATCTAGATCACAATATGATTAATAGAATTTCTATGAGTAGAATTACTTCCTTAGAATTATCTCATACAGAGTTGAACCACGATGGGATTCGGGCATTGAAGAAACTGATTACCTGTAGCACTACTTTGAGTTCTTTGATTCTGTTCAGGTTTACAGGATTGGGATTCACCGAAGATCTTGCCAGTTTAGTGTCGGATGCACTTTCTGAAAATACTACACTTACTTCGCTTGATCTTGCTTGCAATAATCTAAAATCAAACGGAGGAGAAGTACTTGCGCGTGGTCTTCGTTCAAACAAAACATTAAATTCACTGATTCTCGAAGGAAACGACATTGGGAGAGCAGGGGGGAAATTAATAGGAAATTCTCTTCGTGATAATAACACTCTTACATCTCTTAATCTCGAACAAAATAACATTGGGGATGAAGGTGTAATGGCTTTAGCAGAAGCACTACGTTCTAATCGTGCTCTGACTATTTTAAATATTAGCGCTAATGATATTTCTACTGACGGAGGAAAAAAATTAGCCAATACACTCTGCAAGAATACCACACTGACTTCTTTAGATCTCAGTTACAATCCTTCTATATCCAAGTTGGGTGGAAAAGCATTAGCAAATGCTCTTTACGATAACTACACCTTGACACATCTAAATCTTAAATCATGCGGTATTCTTAACGTTGGAGGAATTGCTCTTGCCAGGGTGCTTAATTCAAATTCGACTCTAAAGTTTTTAGACCTTTCTTATAATCAGCTTGAATCTGATGCAGCAGTTGAATTAGCAAAGGCACTTATTGATAATTTAAGCTTAACTTCGTTGAACCTTTCACATAATAAAATTGCTTCTAAGGGTGGAATAGCGTTTTCAAGAGCTCTTTGTCGTAATACATCCCTAATCTCTTTAAATATCTCTCATAACGGCATTGATGATGAAGCTGGTCTAGCATTAGGTCATTCACTTCTCAGCAATAATACATTGAAGTCATTAACTGCCCATGGTAATATCATGAGTGGTGAAACGGAATTTTATTTATTTGGAACATTATTGTTGTGAAGTTAAACTTCGTCAATGCAATTGACACCACCAACGTCTCAATCCTTAGCCATGTCACCAGATTCGCATTCTGCATATAATATGTCAGGATCTTCTATCATTGGAGAATTTC